TTTCTATTTTTGAGATTTTATTTCTTTCAAGCATATGTGAATGATTAGAGAATAAATAAGACTCCATGTTGTTTCAGTTTTGTAAGCAGCCAATCACAAGAGACGTAACAGCAGAGTCTAAAATAAATAAAGGAAGAATTGCAATACATACTCACAAATAAGACAAACCACTCAACAATAGATTCTGCTTTTTTGTTGTGCTTATTACGGTTTATTTCCCTTTCTGATAATTTTTTTTTTTTATATCTGATTCCAGTTTCTTGCACACAGCTGAAAGAAGGCAATGAAGACTTAGTGTGATAGATTTTCCATGACAGAATTTAAGCTTGGGCTGGATTGGTATTCAAGAAAAATATTTTGTTCATTGCACCAGACTTTTTAATTTTTTTCATCTTTATTTGGAAAAAAACAAAAACAACAATGAATATATCTGTAACTGTTTTTCTTCTATTTTCAATAGATTATGCACACTGTTGTAATATACATGAGAAAATATATGATTCTATATGCTTAAATATTAACAAAAATTAGCTTTGTCTAGCCTAAGACTACAATAGTGGGACAGCCTGAGTAGAGTGAATTCAATCTCACTCTGTGGCATTTCCTGATGGGACATAGGTAATTATGGCTCTTCACAGCTTCATCTCTTTTGAGCCCTTCAGTAATGGTTATTTATAACCTCACTTTTCTTTATAGTAATTTTTTCTTAATTCATTTACTAAAACTTATCATGTAAGTTTCTCTCTCTCTATCTCTCTCTCTCTTTCTATTACACCATCTTCCTTCAGTATGCAAGTGTTAAACTCTGTTTCAAATCAGGAGTGGCCAGTTAGTTATTATATATATATATATATATATATATATATATATATATGTGTGTGTGTGTGTGTGTGAGTGTGTGCAAATATGTAGAAAATAGGAAAGAACTTGTTAGATAAATAATCCGAAGTTCTTTAGTATTTTTGTTTTTATTTTCAAAAAACAACGCTCAATACAAAAGTAGAGCCTAAATAATAATTATTTTTTAAAAATATGATTCCTTAAAATAATTATAATAATATATATATATATATATATATATATATATATATATATATAAAAGGCAATAAATCCATTGGTATATAATCCACATGGATCCTAGTAATATAAAATATTAAAACTGATCCACAAAAAGAGCTCAACGTATTATATATATATATATATATATATATATATATATATATAGTTTTGTCTAATACAAGTACAGTAGAGAGGAGGGTCAAAAGATTATGTTCCAGTAAACAACCACATCAAAGATTTTGTTTTTCTTGAAAATCAGCATTAAAAAGCAAATTTTTATCTGGACTTGAACACAAACCACTGGTGAGAGTGGAAAATATGCAACTGTTTTAGTTGTCACAGAGATAACCCTTCTGTAATAAACAATTTCATATATAAAAAAAAAAAATGATTTTTTATGCTTAGGCTGATATATTTGCTTCCACCCACCCTCATAAGTGGAGATTTCTATTTCATTAGATATTCCTATCCATTCTTCAAACATTCTCTCTCGTGCTACTCATCCTTCCATATCTATTTCTGTCTATCTATATTTATCCATCTCAAGTATGTAAGATCCATCAGTCAGATGGGAGAGAAGTGGATTACCTAGAGTATTGTTCAAAGAAATGTGGACAGATATTACAAGAATGTGTCATGTAAACAGACCTGACCTTGGATGACGGTCTGCAGTTTAATCAGAAATCACAAGTGAACAGCACTTTTCTGTCTTATTTTAGTTTCCAAAGCTCATCAACTAATTCTTCTTGATTCTTTTTTTTTTCTTTCCTTTATCCCAAACCTTCATCTAGTGACAGCCATCTTGATTACTTTCAACTTGCATAAACTTGTTCCTTTTGGTGTGAAAACATTTTAATCAAGGAAATAGAGAATATATATAACAATCTGACTGAAATACAATATTTATTTTTGGCAGAGTCTTTTTTTTAATATTCTTTTGACTTGATTATATATATTTCATTGAAAGTAAACCATAAACAGTATTTGTTTATTGATCTGAGATTGTAGATTTGAGATATTGTTACAAATTTTGTTGAATAGTCTGATGAATTAAGAAATGATTGAAAAGGAAAATTAAATCCAAATTGGTTTATTTTTACATTGAATAAATACATAATTTTAAATAAACTGTAAACTTCTGTCTGAGTTATTTACATTCAGACTATTATCCTTATCTTTATTGTTATTATACCAATGTTTTGGTCTTTTTGTTCTTTGGTCTTTTTCAAATATCCGTCAATCCAGGTAAACATCAGGGACTTTTAAACTAAACACTTTATTTAATTTATGGTGATAGTGTGTTCTCATTCTTTTAAGTCAAGACTGGGCAATAGCCTTGTGGATTAAAGCATTGGTTTGTGAATTTGGTGGCATAGTGATTATGAGTTCAATCCCAGTCATGGATAGTACAGACTCAGATTCAGTGAAAAGAAGGCAACAAGCAATAAGTAAGCAATACTAAAAAAAAAGAGCAAGACAAGATATCCGTAGACATTAACAGCAGAAAGAATATAAAAGTTTAAATTGAGAAACTGTTAAGACTTTTACATAAATACATTCTATAACCTATAAAAAAAAACTGCAAACATGTATTTAAGAATAATAAAAACATTCAATAAGATGAATATTTTTAAAAAATCCAAACAGGTAAAAACTTTTTGCAATTCATAAATAACCAATGTGAGAAGATATAACAGCTGAAATGTGATAAAAACAACAAAGATGAGGATAATAATCAGAATGTAAATAATGTAATTTTTTTTATCAATTCAGCTGAAGCAAGGCAATAATGCCACTAAGATGCAAGGAAATACCAGGATTGAAAGAGAATGAGAAAATTTTAGAAGAAACTAGAAACCCAATTCTAAACAGGAAAAAGGATATCCCTATAAAATTATTTGATAAATTTCAAAATACCTCTATTCTCAGAATTTAAATTTAAACTCTCTGTAGGGGTACAATTTTTTTTTAAATCTTTAAAAACAGATATTTTAAAAAGTATATATAAATATATATTTTTTTATTTGATATATATCTTTATATATATTTATGTATACTTTTAAAATGTCCATTTTTTTAAACATGAATTTAAAATAATGAATATAAAATATCAATAGTAGAGTGTTTAAAATATTCATTATCAATTTGTTTTTCTTTTAATATAATCCTGGGTATGTTAACTGCTTTAAGACCACTAGAAATTCTTGATATCATTGTTAGTGGGTTTAATTGGAATTAAGTAGACTTTTCATTCATTATTATTATTAACTTCATCTTTAATATTAACACAATATTCTTCTAGCTTCTTCAGGTCTAGTCGATCTTTTCATATTTGTTTTTTTCTGAAGTAGTTGCAAAATAATTCCATTATATACTTGAGAAAAGCCAGACCTTAATAAGAACAAATCAAAAATAAACTCACCAAATAAAAGAATAATGAAAATTCTTCATCTCAAAATTTAAGAAAACCAATACCACTTGCTTTATACTCAATCATTTTGGTGACTTTAAAGAAAAATTGATAACAATTTTAGCAGTCTTTCATTCATGATTCCTTTTCTTTATCAGCCTTACATAAAATAATTGAAATGAATTAATATTTTAATTTTTTTTTTTTGAAAGAGGATGGAAAGTGACAGCAAAGGGCAAAGGTTATCAAAATGGTTGAAATACAAAGAGACAAGTAGAAGAATTTATTTTTTTTACCAAAAACTAAAATGTAATTAAGGAATTTAAAAAAATAAAGTTAGAATTCAACTTAAATCAAGGAGTGACTGACGAAAAATTTCAGAATTTGTTTTTTTTTTTAGAGAAAACCCATTTAGTTGATTCTGATTTCAATGAAAAAAAATTTAGGACCCCAAATCTTCTTAATGATCATAATTTTTTTTTGTTTCACAAGAAAAAACAAAAAGTAAACAAGTGTGAAATGCAATCAAATAAATGTCCCCCACCCCCAACCCCCCAAAAAAAAGAAAGAAAGAGAAAAAATAAAAACAAAAGAAATAACTAAAGCCAAGGAAGAAAATGATGAGAAAGATAAATATATTGGATTCAATACAGAAATATGAACACTGAATAGAATTTGTTAAAGTGCTGTCTATAAAAATACCAATACAGGGGATGTGAGTTCAGGTTTTATTAAAAGCTTCTCTATATTTTATTCTCATTTTGAATGATTTTAAAAGTGAGTATTTTATTCAATCTAGAAAGTTGTGATAAAAAGCAACAATAAGATAAAAAAAATGGGTCAAAATTCAAATAATTTAAAATGATTACAATGAAATAAAAACAGAATACAGTATGAATATTTTGAGCAAGGACTTAGAAATATGACCAACTGTGTCCTGTTCAGGTTTCCATGGATAAGGTATTACTTATAAAAAAAATGAGCTGCTCACACAATGGAACATGGGGTGCAACTTTACATCTTGAAAAAAACATTATTTCATAATTCTTACCTATTGAAAGATATTTGATCAAAGATGTCATGATAAAACACAGCAAATGAGGAAATAACGTGACAAAAATTAACAGAAATGTTAAACAGAAAAATGAAATGGAAGAAAAGTGACAAAGTACATCTTGTTAAGACAAGAAAAAGTCAAGTTCAGCATGTGGATAATTAAATGAAAAAGTGAAATATTAATAACTTAATATTTTAATAAACTCAAAATAATTAATGACTGCCTTTATTACTTATGTCATTGTTACAAGTTTTTTGTTTCTTCTTTTTTTTTACAATAAAGTCTTTTCCTTAGTGATTTTTACTTTTTAAGTTATTATTTACTTCTGATTATGCTTCTATGATTTCATACAAATTTCACTTTAATGCAAATTATCTTACAAAATAGATAAACAATGTAATAATTATAGATACATTATACAGCATAATTTTTACCTAAATTAAAATATTTCTATCCATTTTCTCTCATTTTTTAAAAAATAACCTGATCTGTGACATAGTTTCATAAATCACTCACACCAATACTGACTGACAATTAAAGAAACAACTGGATTTATCCTATTTTTGTAGTTACATTTGTCAGTCAGTTGGCCTTATTAGAATCATCATAGAATTTCTTTGTTTTAATATTCACAAAGAACAAAAATTTATTGTGATTTTGTAAAAAGATATATATCTATTTTAATGAAACCTAATCAATTCCAAGAGTCTATTGCTGGTTATAACAACACTCTTCTCCTTAGATACTTTCAAAAGTTAAAAAAAATATACACATCTGTTGAAAGCCGACTCTAAATGCAGATTGCATACTTCAGTTAAAGTTCTATTTTGAGCAACAGAAATTACGTTTCGATTCAGCCACAAACAGCACTCCAAAGAACTTTGTTACCACTTTTTTCTTTTCTTTTTAAATATATTTGTTGTTGTTGTTGTTGTTGCAAAACGAAACAAAAATTTCTGTGAACAAGAAATAAGAGAAAGTGAAAAGTTGGATAAGCCATTAATTGCTGGGAAAGAGTTTGGGCAAAAAGATTGAATTGGCACTGAATAAAACATGAAAGTAAGGCAAAACAAATCAGGAATTTTGTCGTGCTTCTCTGTGGAGTTTTTTTTTTTTTTTTTATTGAGAAAAGTGGAAGTGAATGATTGACAAATATTATGAGAAAAGAAGAGGGAATTCTCTTGAGAGGGGTTTAGGGTCTGAAAGAAAATCAACATGGGAATAAAGAGATGATAGAGGAAGAATGGCAAAGTGAATGAAGAAAAAAGAAAATAGAAAAATAGATATAGAAAGGGTTAGAAAGATGGGAAAGTGAGAACCTATTTAGGGAGGGAAGGAATTGGAAAAAAAAAAAAAGAATTAGTGATGAGCAGGAAGTTGGATGCTAAAGAAAAAGAATGGGAAAATATGAGAGAGAAAGAATGAAAGTAAAGAAAAGGGTAGTAAAAGAGTGGTGGAGGGGGAGAAAAGTGAAGAGGAGGGGGAGAACAGGTAAATTAAGAATGAGAAAAGTAAATGAAAATTGAGAATCTAAAGAGGATTGGGAAAGTTAAAACAGTGAGAGAGAAAAATAGGAAAAACAAAGAAAAGACGGGGAAAAGAAGAAAAACAATGAGAGGATGAGAAAAAAGATGAAAGAAAAAAGAGGATGAGAAAATGAGGGAAAAAAATAGAGACCAAGAAAAAGAGGAAAAACAGAGAGAGGACGAGAAAGAGAGCAAAAACAGAGAGAGGACGAGAAAGAGAGCAAAAACAGAGAGAGGACGAGAAAGAGAGCAAAAACAGAGAGAGGACGAGAAAGAGAGCAAAAACAGAGAGAGGACGAGAAAGAGAGGAAAAACAGAGAGAGGACGAGAAAGAGAGCAAAAACAGAGAGGAGGACGAGAAAGAGAGCAAAAAACAGAGAGACGAAGAGAGAGCAAAACAGAGAAAGAAAGAGAGCAAAAAGAGAGAGAGACGAGAAAGAGAGAGAGAGGACGAAAAGAGAGGAAAAAAAGAGAGGACGAAAAAGAGGGAAAAACAGAGAGAAGAGAAAAAGAGGAAAAACAGAGAGAAGAGAAAAGAGAGGAAAAAAAGAGGAGGATGAGAAAAAGAGAGAAAGAAAAAGGAGATGAGAAAAGAGAGGAAAAACAGAGAGAGAAAGAAAGAGGCTGAGAAAAAGGGGGAAAAGAGAGGAGAAAAAAGAGGAAAAAAAAGCAGGGATGAGAAAAGAGGGAAAAAAAAGCAGGGATGAGAAAAAGAGGGAAAAAAAAGCAGGGATGAGAAAAAGAGGGAAAAAAAAGCAGGGATGAGAAAAAGAGGGAAAAAAAAGCAGGGATGAGAAAAAGAGGGAAAAAAAAGCAGGGATGAGAAAAAGAGGGAAAAAAAAGCAGGGATGAGAAAAAGAGGGAAAAAAAAGGGATGAGAAAAAGAAAAAAAAGAGGGATGAAAAAGAGGGAAAAAAAAAGCAGGGATGAGAAAAAGAGGAAAAAAAAAAGAGGATGAGAAAAAGAGGGAAAAAAAAAGCAGGGATGAGAAAAGAGGGAAAAAAAGCAGGGATGAGAAAAAGAGGGAAAAAAAAGCAGGGACAAGAAAAAGAGGGAAAAAAAAGCAGGGACAAGAAAAAGAGGGAAAAAAAAGAGAGAGGACAAGAAAAAGAGGGAAAAAAAAGAGAGAGGACAAGAAAAAGAGGGAAAAAAAAGAGAGAGGACAAGAAAAAGAGGGAAAAAAGAGAGGACAAGAAAAAGAGGGAAAAAAGAGAGGACAAGAAAAAGAGGGAAAAAAGAGAGGACAAGAAAAAGAGAGGATGAAAAAGAGGAAAAACAAAGAGAGGGTGAGAAAAAGAAAAATGAAAAGAAAGAAAAGGCTAAGATAAAGGACAATAAAATATCAAAGAAAGAAAAGATCAAAGAAGAGAAAAAGAAAGAGTGAGTAAATGAGGGACAACAAACAAAAAGGGAGAAAATGATGAAGAGAGACAAACAAAATAAGAAAAATAAAAGATCATAATGTTGGTTACTAAACAACTTTCATAAACAGCAAAATATTCTGTTATTCCCATTGCAGTAGTCTTAAAGACATTCTTGCAATTGAAAGAAAGAAATTATTAAAATTAATCATTTCCACAGACAGACAGACACAAAATAAAAAAATGCAATGAGGACAAAATAAATTGCTAAGATAAATGTTGTAATTATTTTTAATAGTATATATGAACTGTTTGCACTCTACTTTGAATCAGAGTCACTCTATGTCACTTGTGCAGAGGATCAGTACAGTAGATGTGCACTCTGCTTAAGTATTTCCAAATTAATTTTACTATGCTTTTCAAGTAGCAGAACACTAGCATAGTGGATACAGCACTTGCCTGCATATTTCCTCGTCAGACATTCAAATAAATGCCAGACTTCTTCATAAAAAATTAAAATTCAATGGGCTAATTTTGTTTCATGTGGTGAAACTTATTTACAATGTTATAAAAAAAAGAACTGATTTTGGTAAAGTGATTTTTTTTTTAAGTCATTGTGCAGAAATATTTTTAAAATGATTTCTAAATATGCATTTCTGCTATAGGTCTTTCTGAATAAAAATTACAAGTGGAGAACAGAAATATACTAATGTTTTCAAAAAGAGTAGATAGATTCACACTCCTCTCTGGTCTTTTGAACAGGAGTAGAGGTTTATCCTTTGTTTCATGTTTAGGACTGGGTTTTCCAGTCCCTTCTAAAGGATTTTTCATTCTCTTTCATTAACAATATCCACTTGCATCTTAGTGGCTTGCTTGGGGTGAATTGATTAAAAGAAAAAAGAAGTTGTCCTAAAAACCTTGATTACGTTAAGTAATTCTATGAGTTAAGAATGAAGCAGTTTATAAGAAAATATATTAAAGTTATATATTCAAATCAAAAAATCAAAATTTTCTGTTGGTCTTAGGCATTAAAGATTACAATTCTTCTCAGAAGTCAGTTTTATGAAGATAGTATTAATACAAACAATAAAGACAAAAATTGATAACCTCCCCACAAAAAATTAAAAAGGGCCTAAAGAGCTGATGTGGAAAAAATACAGAGTATAGAAGATAAAGATTCTTTGATGTGTTCCTTTGAGTGGGTTTTCTACATCAGCAAAAGATTTTTTTTTCCATCAGCCATGTTTTTCTCAAGTGATAGTAATCATGCTACTACTGCTACTGCAAACATCAGGTAATGATTTTGTTTTACATTGATGAACAATATCACTTTTGGAAGCATTTGAATCACAAGCCAAGCAAATCCACTTTATAAATATTCCGCCATAGCAAATCAATACAAAGATTTATTGTAAAAATTGCTTTGGCTCACTTGGGCATTCAAGCCACAAAAAGAGGGCACTTTAAAAGAAAAAGAAAAGATAAATAATCACAAACTTGGTGTATTTTTGCTTTTAGCTGATTCTCTCATTTCAATAGGAAAGGTTTGAGCAAATCTTATTTGAACTAATTTAAGAACCCAAAACATCAATCTTTAAAAGTTGTTTTTTTTTTTTATTATATTTATAAAAGAAACAATATTCACTTGTTTTGCTCAACAAATTTTAAATTTTATTGAAGAAATAAAAAATGAGGAAAAGTTTTTATATTGACTAATTTAAAATATGTTTGTCAAATTCTCTTTGGATTAAACTTGATGAGAACATGTAAATCTGCAAATTTTATATAACATCAATAATAACCAAAGAAACAAAATCGGGTAATTTACAAAATCTTGAGACTGAATATAACAATTACCTTGTAATGACCCTCATAAGAAATTAAAGGAAGTGGTTGATCTAGAGGTTTCTGTATTCAGCATGTAATGAGTCCCATGATTGGTCAATAGACAAGCCAATGACAGCTCTGCTTCATTTCCACCTTGGCAGACAATTAAAACATTTTCTCACTTTTGACTGCAGGTGGTCGACGCATTATGTTGCAAACACCATTGTAAGTGTACAAAATGTGGCTCCAGTTCTAATAACAGGTCATAAGTGGAAGGAAAAAAGAATTAAAATTGACATGAAATTCAATATCTATACATATGAATATCTCTATAAAATTAGATAATTTAATTTCTTATGAGGGCTGCTATGATATCCTTCTTTTCTGAATACATTTGTAGCTTTGTACAGCTGAATTTACCAATGGTGCAATTATCTAAACCACATGCATGGGAAGGTAAATTTCACCTTCAATGAATTGTCAGCTTTGGTGATTTACGCTAAGATAAAATAATTTTAAAAATTAAAAATTGCAAAAGATTCAGTTAATAAATTAAACCTTCATTTGCTTTTGGTCTCAGGCAATTTTTTAGAATCATTTCACCTCAAGTAAAGCACTAAAGCCACTAAGACACAAGGGGTTACTGAGTAAGAAAGAATAAGAAAAACATTATTAAGGAGTGAGAACAATAAAAGATGTGAAATCAAGAAAACTATAGATAGAGATTGATTTAAATTTTTGAAGATCAAAGTTGGCTGGAAAGCAAGCAGTTGGAAGAGAGTTCTACAGGTGAGAAGTGCGAAAAAAAAACTGTTAGCATGGAACTTATGGTTACATCTAGCCTCCTCGACTGTAAAATGATGAAACCTTGTCACCAATCTAGGACTGCACTTAAATTCCTAAAGTCTTGGTACCATAGAAAAAAAGTACATCAGAACAATTACCATGACAATATTTATAGATAAGACAGAGGGAAACAACATTATTTATTATAATATCAAACAACAAACAGAGAAAAAATATAATAACAATTACAATAATCATAATAATGAAGATGGTGTCTTTGTCAGAAGTAATGGTGATAAGGATCATTATAGTATATGTGCACTCTGCCTTAGTTTGTATTTTCAAGTTAATTTTACTATGCTGTTCAAGTAGTGGATACACTATTTACCTGTCAGGTAGTCAAATAAGCATTGGATTGACCCACAAAAAAATAAATTAAAAATAGCATCTAATTGGGTGTTACAACTCATTAACAGTCATGAGTAAAAAAAAAAAAAGTCTCATTTATAAAGAAAAGAATAAAATCCTACAGGAACTGAATAGCATTGTGGAAAAGGAAATAAATAAAAATATGCAAGCAGCAAATGGAATTAAAACTATAGAAAAGGATGCAAAGGCACAAAGGTTAGACAATTTACAAAATTTCTGGAAACAAAAACACTTACATGGCCAATATGCACTCATTACAGATATAAATAAAAAAAAATCAAATGGGAAAAGAAATAAAAAAGCAGAGAAATATGCATTTATAATGGCTGGAATTAAAACTATAGAAAAGGAGTCAAAAATAATAAAGAATAGTTAGACAATTTACAAAATTTCTGGGAAACAAAAAAAGATTTATATTCCACATGGCATTATGCCACAGGCTGAAAAAAAATATGCACTCATCAAAGAAGTAACAATACTATCTGTACTGATATAAATAAAAAGCTAATAGACATTACATAGTGATTAAAGATTACAAACAAAAAATTCCTTCTCCACAGTGCCATCACAAAATTCATCAATGGCTAAAGAGTGCAAGGCTAAAAGCAGAGAAAGAGGCATTTATAATGGCTGCACAGGACCAAAGTCTATTTAATAGGAATTACCAGTCAAAAATAATAAAAGAATAAAAAAGAAAAAGACCTGTAAAGTAGATTATGAAAAACACCATGTTAAGACTATTGACCATTTAGTGTCTGGCTGTTCAATCATGACATTCTAAAGGAATACAAAGATCAACATAAGATTGGGCAATATATTCACAGAAAGATATGTCAGTATTACAAAAAAAAAGATACCAAGAAGAAGAAAGGAAGAAGCCGCGAAGAATGAAGCCAAGATAAAGAAGCAAAGCTTATGCCAAAGAAGCTGAAAAAATGGGATGTGCAAGAAGATACCAAGAAGAAGCCATCAAAGCTGAATAAGGAAGACATCAAAAGAAGCCGACAAAGAAGAATCAAGCTGAAGAAAGCCACTAAGCCATCTTTGGCACTTTACTATCTGTACTGACAGACATAAAAAGCTAATAGACATTACATAGTGATTAAAGATTACAAACAAAAAAATTCCTTCTTCAAGAAGTACCAAGAAGAAGATAAAGAAGAAGTCCATCAAGAAGAAGATAGAAAGGAGAAGAAGATACAAGAAGCTGAAGAAGAAGACAAGAAGAAGAAAGAATATCAGCCAGAAATAAAAGAAAGAAGATACCAAGAAGAAGAATATCAGAAATAAGTAAGATACCAAGGACCTTGGAATCTAAAAAAATGGCACCTAAAAATAAGAAGATACTGAAGAAGCAAAGCTGAAGAAGATCATTGCTATATAATTTACAAAGAAGAAGATTTCAAAAAAAAGCCCAAGAAGAAGAATAAAGAAGTATGAAGCCAAGAAGAAGATCAAAATGGTAAAATAAGAAAGAAGATTAAGATATAAAGAAAAATACCAAAAAGAAGATATAAAAGAAGCTTACAAGCTTACCAAGAAGAAGATTAAAAATACCAAGAAGAAGCCTAAAAGAAGAAGCCAAGCTAAAGAAGATGAAGAAGATAAAGCAGAACTGTTCATCTATTCAAGATACCAAGAACATTAATAATGCAAGAAGATTAAAAGCCAAGCTAAAGAAGATACCAAGAAGAAGCCATGTTACCAAGAAGATATATCAAGAAAAGAAGCCATAAAGAAGAAGCATGTTGAAGAAGATTTCAAAAGAAACAAGAAGATAAAGCTGAAGAAGATACAAGAAGAAGATATAAAGCAGAAGCTGAAGAAGATACCAAGAAGAAGATATACCAAGAAGAAGAAGATAAAGAAGAAGATATCAAAGCTGAAAAGAAGATACCAAGAAGAAGCTGATAAAGAAGAAGCAAAGCTGAAGAAGATACCAAGAAGAAGATATTGAAGAAGATACCAAGAAGAAGATATAAAAGAAGCAAAAGCTTACCAAGAAGAAGCCATAAAGAAGAAGCCAAGCCCAAGAAGATAACCATGATAATGACAAAGCTAAGAAGATAAAGAAGAAGTAGAAGACAAGCTGAAGAAGATTATGATAAGAATAAAAGAAAAAAGAAGAAGCCAAGAAGAAGATAAAGAAGAAGCCATAAAAGAAGAAGCAAGAAGAATAAGAAGATACCAAGAAGAAGCCAAAAGAAGAAGCCAAGCTGAAGAAGATACCAAGAAGAAGATATAAAGAAGAAGCAAGCTGAAGAAGATACCAAGAAGAAGCTATAAAGAAGAAGCAAAGCTGAAGAAGATAAAGAAGAAGCCAAAAGAAGAAGCCAAGCTGAAGAAGATACCAAGAAGAAGATATAAAGAAGAAGCCAAGAAGAAGAAGATACCAAGAAGAAGATATTTCTATAAAGAAGAAGCCAAGCTGAAGAAGATAGAAGAAGATATCAGGAAGAAGCCAAAGCTGAAGAAGATACCCAAGAAGAAGCCATAAAGAAGAAGCCAAGCTGAAGAAGATACCAAGAAGAAGATATAAAAGAAGAAATAAAGCTGAGAAGAAGCCATAAAGAAGAAAAGAAGATAAGCTGAAGAAGATACCAAGAAGAAGCCATAAAGAAGAAGCCAAGACCAAGAAGAAGATATAAAGAAGAAGCCAAGAAGTTTACTGAAGAAGATACCAAGAAGAAGCGATAAAGAAGAAGCCAAGCTGAAGAAGATACCAAGAAGAGCCAAGAGAAGATAAAGCCGAAGAAGAAAGCAAAGAAGATAAAGAAGAAGAAGAAGATATAAGAAAGAAGAAGCCAAGCTGAAGAAGATACCAAGAAGAAGATATAAGGGAAGAAGCCAAGCTGAAGAAGATACCAAGAAGAACCAAAAGAAGAAGCAAGAAGAAGAAGATACCAAGAAGAAGCCATAAAGAAGAAGAAAAGCCAAGAAGATAAGAAGATACCAAGAAGAAGCCATAAAGAAGAAGCAAAGCTGAAGAAGATACCAAGAAGAAGAAGCCAAAGAAGAAGCCAAAAGAAGAAGATACCAAGAAGAAGATAAAGAAGAAGCCCAAGAAGAAGCCAAAAGAAGCCAAGCTGAAGAAGATAAGAAGAACCAAGAAGATATAAGGAAAAAGAAGAAGATACCAAGCCCAAGAAGAAGCCATAAAGAAGAAGCAAAGCTGAAGAAGATACCAAGAAGAAGCTATAAAGAAGAAGCCAAGCTTGAAGAAGATAAAGAAGAAGATATAAAGAAGAAGCAAAGCTGAAGAAGATACCAAGAAGAAGCCATAAAGAAGAAGCAAAGCTGAAGAAGATACCAAGAAGAAGCCATAAAAAGAAGAAAGAAGATACCAAGAAGAAGAAGGAAGAAAAGAAGAAGATGAAGAAGATACCAAGAAGAAGCCATAAAGAAGAAGACAAGCTGAAGAAGATACCAAGAAGAAGCCATAAAGAAGAAGACAAGCTGAAGAAGATACCAAGAAGAAGATATAAGGAAGAAGCAAAGCTGAAGAAGATACCAAGAAGAAGATATAAAGAAGAAGCCAAGCTGAAGAAGATACCAAGAAGAAGCCATAAAGAAGAAGCCAAGCTGAAGAAGATACCAAGAAGAAGCCATAAAGAAGAAGCCAAGCTGAAGAAGATACCAAGAAGAAGATAAGAAGAAAAGAAGAAGATTAAAGAAGAAGTACCAAGAAGAAGCTTAAGAAGAAGATAAAGAAGAAGAAGCAAAGCTGAAGAAGATACCAAGAAGAAGCCATAAAGAAGAAGAAGCTAAGAAGATACCAAGAAGAAGATATAAAGAAGAAGCAAAGAAGAAGATACCAAGAAGAAGATATAAGAAGAAGAAAGATACCAAAGAAGATACCAAAGAAGAAGATATAAAGAAGAAGAAGATACCAAGAAGAAGCCATAAAGAAGAAGACAAGCTGAAGAAGATACCAAGAAGAAGCTAAAAGAAGAAGCCAAGAAGAAGATACCAAGAAGAAGCCATAAAGAAGAAGACAAGCTTGAAGAAGATACCAAGAAGAAGCCATAAAGAAGAAGCCAAAGCTGAAGAAGATACCAAGAAGAAGATATAAGGAAGAAGCAAAGCCAAGAAGATAAAGAAGAAGCCATAAAAGAAGAAGCAAAGCTGAAGAAGATACCAAGAAGAAGATATAAGGAGAAGAAAGCAAGAAGATAAAGAAGAAGAAGAATAAGGAAGAAGCAAGAAGAAGATACCAAGAAAGAAGCCATAAAGAAGAAGCAAAGAAGAAGATACCAAGAAGAAGATATAAAGAAGAAGCAAAGCTGAAGAAGATACCAAGAAGAAGAAGCCAAGATATAAAGAAGAAGCAAAAGCTGAAGAAGATAGAAGAAGAAGATATAAAGAAGAAGCCAAAGCTGAAGAAGATACCAAGAAGAAGATATAAAAGAAGAAGAAGAAGCAAGAAAGAAGATACCAAGAAGAAGCTGAAGAAGAAGCCAAGCTGAAGAAGATACCAAGAAGAAGCCAAAAAGAAGAAGCCAAGAAGATAAAGAAGAAGATATAAGGAAGAAGCAAAGCTGAAGAAGATACCAAGAAGAAGATATAAAAGCTGAAGAAGATACCAAGAAGAAGATATAAAGAAGAAGCAAAGCTGAAGAAGAAGAAGAAGATACCAAGAAGAAGATATAAAGAAGAAGCCAAGCTGAAGAAGATACCAAGAAGAAGATAAAGAAGAAGCAAAGCTGAAGAAGATACCAAGAAGAAGATATAAAGAAGAAGCAAAGCTGAAGAAGATACAAAGAAGATAAAGAAGAAGCAAAGCTGAAGAAGATACCAAGAAGAAAGAAGAAGAAGATATAAGGAAGAAGCAAGCTGAAGAAGATACCAAGAAGAAGATATAAAGAAGAAGAAGAAGATACCAAGAAGAAGCCATAAAAGAAGAAGCTGAAGAAGATACCAAGAAGAAGAAGATAAAGAAGAAGAAGAAGAAGCCATAAAGAAGCAAAAGCTGAAGAAGATACCAAGAAGAAGATATAAAGAAGAAGCAAAGCTGAAGAAGATACCAAGAAGAAGAAGAAGAAGCAAAGCTGAAGAAGATACCAAGAAGAAGATAAAGCTGAAGAAGATACCAAGAAGAAGCCATAAAGAAGAAGCTAAGCTGAAGAAGATACCAAGAAGAAGATATAGGAAGAAGAAGAAGATAAGAAGAAGAAGCCAGCTGAAGAAGATACCAAGAAGAAGATATAAAGAAGAAGCAAAGAAGAAGCCAAGAAGAAGCCATAAAGAAGAAGCTGAAGAAGATACCAAGAAGAAGCCATAAAAGAAGAAGCAAAGCTGAAGAAGATAAAGAAGAAGCCATAAAGAAGAAGCCAAGCTGAAGAAGATACCAAGAAGAAGATATAAGGAAGAAGCAAAGCTGAAGAAGAAGATAGCAGAAGAAGATACCAAGAAGAAGCCATAAAGAAGAAGCAAAGCTGAAGAAGATACCAAGAAGAAGATATAAGGAAGAAGCAAAGCTGAAGAAGATACCAAGAAGAAGATATAAGGAAGAAGCCAAGCTGAAGAAGATACCAAGAAGAAGCCATAAAGAAGAAGCCAAGCTGAAGAAGATACCAAGAAGAAGATATAAGGAAGAAGCAAAGCTGAAGAAGATACCAAGAAGAAGCCATAAAGAAGAAGCCAAGCTGAAGAAGATACCAAGAAGAAGAAGAAGAAGCCAAAAGAAGATAAAGAAGAAGCCAAGCTGAAGAAGATACCAAGAAGAAGCAATAAAGAAGAAGCAAAGCTGAAGAAGATACCAAGAAGAAGATATAAAGAAGAAGCAAAGCTGAAGAAGATACCAAGAAGAAGCTGAAGAAGATACCAAGAAGAAGATATAAGGAAGAAGCAAAAGCTGAAGAAGATACCAAGAAGAAGATATAAAGAAGAAGCAAAGCTGAAGAAGAAGAAGAAGAAGAAGAAGCAAAGCTATAAGAAGAAGAAGAAGATATAAAGAAGAAGCAAGAAGAAGATAAAAGAAGAAGCCATAAAGAAGAAAAGAAAGAAGATACCAAGAAGAAGATATAAAGAAGAAGCAAAGAAGAAGATACCAAGAAGAAGCCATAAAGAAGAAGCCAAGCTGAAGAAGATACCAAGAAGAAGATATAAAGAAGAAGCAGAAGAAGATATAAAGAAGAAGCAAAAGCTGAAGAAGATACCAAGAAGAAGATATAAGGAAGAAGCAAAGCTGAAGAAGATACCAAGAAGAAGATATAAGAAGAAGAAGATACCAAGAAGAAGCTTCAAAAGAAGAAGATACCAAGAAGAAGATATAAGGAAGAAGCAAAGCTGAAGAAGATACCAAGAAGAAGCCATAAAGAAGAAGCCAAGCTGAAGAAGATACCAAGAAGAAGATATAAAGAAGAAGCAAAGCTGAAGAAGATACCAAGAAGAAGCCATAAAGAAGAAGCAAAGCTGAAGAAGATACCAAGAAGAAGATATAAGAAGAAGATACCAAGAAGAAGCCATAAAGAAGAAGCCAAGCTGAAGAAGATACCAAGAAGAAGATATGAAGAAGAAAGCTGAAGAAGATACCAAGAAGAAGAAGAAGCAAAGCAAGAAGATAAAGAAGAAGCAAAGCTGAAGAAGATACCAAGAAGAAGCCATAAAGAAGAAGCAAAGCTGAAGAAGATACCAAGAAGAAGCCATAAAGAAGAAGCCAAGCTGAAGAAGATACCAAGAAGAAGATATAAAGAAGAAGCCAAGCTGAAGAAGATACCAAGAAGAAGCCATAAAGAAGAAGCCAAGCTGAAGAAGATACCAAGAAGAAGCCATAAAGAAGAAGCCAAGAAGAAATGAAGAAGAAGAAGCCAAAGAAGATACCAAGAAAGCTGAAGAAGATACCAAGAAGAAGATAAGAAGGAAGAAGAAAGCCAAGAAGAAGCTGAAGAAGAAGATAAGAAGAAGACAAGAAGAAGCCACCAAGAAGAAGCCATAAAGAAGAAGCAAAGCTGAAGATACAAAGAAGAAGATACCAAGAAGAAGATACCAAGAAGAAGCTATAAAGAAGAAGCAAAGCTGAAGAAGATAAAGAAGAAGCCAAAAG